GAAGTATAGATACATGCATAGATAAATCATAAAAACATTAGGTTTAGTGAAAGAAGCAAAATATGAGTATTTACTATGTAATCCTACATATATGAGGTTCCAGGAGAAATGCATAAGGAAATAGAAGTATGGAAGTAATGCTACAGTTAGTCCCCTTTTTTCCATGAGGGCTACTTTGTAAGTGGATGCCCGAAACCACAGATAGGACTGAACTCTATACAAACTGTTTTTTCCTGTATATACATATCTATAATAAAGTTTAATTTATAAATGTGTTATGTTAAGGGATTAACCATAATAATAATATAGAATAATTATAACATATTCTGTAATAAAAGTTATGTGAATGTGGTCTCTCTCAAAATATCTTATTGAACTGTACTCAGTGATGGTTATCGTACATTTTTACTGTCTTGCTCAACATGACACAGCCAGCAGTTTCTGCTGAAAGCCGCCCCCAGAACACAGGTTCCAAGTCCAAGCGCATGGCGACACTCAGTGGACCACATGGAAAAGGTGTCTTGTCAATCCACAGAAAGGTGTTGGCGTTCAACTCCACTCCGGGTTCCGAGATCAAATCCAACCACCTGAGAGACAAACCAACTCAACGTTATACCGCCAATTCATTCGGATTAAATATTGAACAAAAACTCCCAAACTGTGGAGGACAGACTGGTCCAAGCCGTGACCTTTGCCTGACCCACGAGCTGGACCAGGGCCAAAATGGGGGGCTGGCTTTCTGCAGCCAGTTAGACCGATGGTAAGGATGTTCAGTCTGACACGAATCAGCCCCTCCGCGGCCTCCTGCCATGTGCTGCCTCTTGGAACAGGGCCTTGTCCTGACCTGCTCACACACGTGACTATCTCCCCCTTTATAGAATTTCTGTTGGTGCCTGTCAAGTGGCATGGGGGTCTCTTCTGTGCTTCAGTTGCCCAAGTTGGCCCTCGTCTGTAAGTTTCCCGTAATAAACTCTATTAAGGAGCCGACTGGAGCGGCCAGTCTGACTTGGGCCCTTCCCTGCTCTCTGCTGATGAAGGTAGATTTCAGGCTCAGAATCTTCCGCGGGGTCTGCCTGAACTAACCGAAATGACCTTCAAATGTGAACTAACACACAGCGATTTCTCGTCACAGTTTACTCAATCTGAAGTGTTTTTTTGCACATCTAAGCAATGCTGCAGTGAAGAGGCTTCTCTGTATTCTCCCTTGTACACATAGGCACGTTTATCCTGGGTTGATAGTGAGGGCAAATACAAATGAAAAATATGGCTTAATTCTCCTGTTGAAATTAAGGCAAGAGACCTGACCCACCCCTGCCGCCTCCCTACCGTTTTGGAGAGTATTTACTTTCAAACCAGGTTCTTTCTCTCTTGGTGTGTGAAAATGATGTATGAAGATCATTTTTAAAAAGCTAAATAAGCCTCTGCCAGCTTTCTCAAGGACCTTGAAGCCATCTTTTAGAAATATAATTATCAAGGGAGATGGGACCCTTATTTCCCAGTGTCTTGGAAGGGGAGGAGCATAACTTTGAGAGGAGCCTCCCACCAACTTGCAAAACTACTTCATGCCCTAAAGAGAGAAGTTTCTTTTTCCTTTGGATAAAGCCAATTAGCTAACACAGATAGTCACCAATTATCAAGCCAGTTTAGGATGAACTGTGCGTGACAAATGGCTGCTGGCAAGCCCCGTTACCTGAGGGCTATTGTTTACCTTGAGAATTGGCGTGGAAGGAGTTGTGTCTGCTCGGCTCCTGAAGGGCCTTTGCAACCTCTCCGAGGACTGCCTGTGATGCCAACGGTCTGGTCTCACGCTTTCCCAGTGATAACTCTGCTTTCCCTCTCTTCTACCTTTTGGGAGAGGTTTTCTGAGTCAGGAGATTTTGTTTTTATTATATTTTTCCAACAATAGCAATTCCACTTCCCTGCAAGACATGGTCTAAGAGTGTAAAGTGAACAGCAACACAGGAGGGAAACTTGGAGGAAGCTATCAAAACAAATCTGCTCAGCGGAGTATGAACACCTATTTTCTGGTATGCTCACCATCAGGGATACAACCAAAGCCATACATTTCTTTGTGAATCTGATAACACTTTGCTTTATTTCTTTATGCCTACTGGTTACTAAGATTTGATGCACGAATTGCCTCTTTTGTAGGATGCTAGTTTTACATTCTTTGCCTATTTTTACTAATTGTCTTATAGTTTTTACTATCCTGCTTATTAGCCCTCACTGAATAAAATGCATTTCAAATAATTTTTGTCTGTTGCTTGTTATAATTTTGCTTATATTGTCTTGCTCTACAAGATATATTCATGTACCCAAATGTATCAATTTTTTCCTCTTTGGCTTTAAGCATTTGAAGGTGCAAAAATAATTTTCTGAATCCAATATTAAAATTGTTTTTTCTATTCATGCTATTAAAAAAACAGAACTCAACTAGGTATATTTTAAAAATATAATTGGCTTTATTCAACAATATATGAATCTGCCAGCAACTCATCTAACAGACAGAAAGGCATTCTGAGATGCTGTAGAAAATGACTTTCAAAAGCGGAGGGAGCCAACCAAGATAGTTATACTAATAAAAGGTATACTGGCTTTCCTTTAGGACATGACAAGGGTCAGTCAAGAAGATTGCCTGCCTAGTGACTGATCAGGTGATTCCTGATCAACTGGTTTAAGATTCCATTTCTGGGAGAGACCGAAAGTGCAATTACATTTTGGTTTTGGTGATGTAGGGCTTAGAATAAGTGATCCCATTTTGGGACTGTTGTCCTAGTTTTAAAAGTGCTAAAGTTTCTGTAGTTTTATTTCTTGCTTTTACATTTAAATTATTAATTTCTAGGTTGTATCATTTGGGGGTATAGGCAAGAGAGATTTGAGTTACTTTCCTCCAATGGCTACCAGGTATAGTGACATGACTAGTAGCTTAGTCCAGCCTGTCAGAACTCTTAAACTTCCATTGTCTTCAGTGGATGAAAACAAGTTTATCCCGATTATTCATTGTTTAAAGACTTTTTAATAATGCTGATTTCTACATGACAATAAGGTGCTGTATTTTAAGAATGTTCATGTTTTGCCCTGGCTGGTTTGGCTCAGCGGTTAGAGCGTTGGCCTGCAGTCCGGAGAGACCCGGGTTCGGTTCCCACTAAGGGCATGTACCTCAGTTGCATTTTGTCCCCAGCCCTGGTTGGTCGTGCGGGTGGCGGCCACTCGATGTGTCCCTTTCACGTCGATGTTTCTCTCTCTGTCTCTCTTCCTCTCTCTCCCTCCCACTCTATCTGTACAAAAAATGGAAAAATGTCCTCAGGTGAGGATGAAAAAAAAAAAAAAGAATGTTCATGTTTTGAGTAATACCATAAATTTCAAATTGAATAACACTTTTAACTATTGCTACTTACTATAGGAGGATTTCAAAATTAATATCATCAGATTTTTTTAAGCAGATTTCTGAACCTCATCCTCAGAAAACTATTTTAATAAGTCTAAAATGGGGCTGGAGGATTTTCATTAAGCAATTAAGTGAATAAGACAATGTTTTCCTCTTCCCTTTAACTATTTATGCTGTTTACCCTAAATTCAAATTTTACCTTCAAGTTACAAAAACAAATTCTAGTGAGAGTCTAAGAGTAAAGCAGAGTTACTCAGTTTTACTTCTAAAGTATCTGGAATAAATAGAATAAACTAACACTGACTACAGAACTCTGAGTGATAGCTAAAAGACAATTATTTAAAGTACTGTCAATCCTTGAATGTATCCTTAAGGAGAAGAGAAGATAACTAATGTGGTAAAGATGGGCAAATTTTTTGTATTGTTTTAAGTATTACAGAAGTCCCCCTCTTTTCCCCATTGACCCTCCCGCCCCACTCCCACTCCCTTTCTGCTTCCCCCAAACTAATGTCTGTGTCTATTGGTTGTGCATATATGCATAGACATTCTCTGGTTTATCTCTTCCCATCTCCCCATCTCCCCATCCCTCTGAGGTTTGTCAGTCTGTTCCCTACTTCCATGACTCTGGATCTACTTTGTTCGACAGCTTATTTTGTTTATAGTAAACCACAAAAAGTGAGATCATGTGGTACTTTTCTTTTTCTGACTGGCTTATTTCGCTCAGCATAATACTCTCCAGGATCTTCCGTGTTGTCTCAAAGGGTAAGAGATCTTTCTTTCTTATAGCTGCATAGTATTCCATTGTGTAAGTACTTCTGATTTTTTGATTCACTGCTAAGTCAATGTAAACAATCAATACATATATTAAAATTCCAAGCAGACTTAGTCTCCTTCAGTGACTACTTCAAAAAAGCTTTATATTTCTAACATTTTTGATTTGGCACCAACATTTTATATTACTTATACTATTGGATTTCAGAAAATTTTTATAAGGTTAGAAAGGTATACTTTGTACCTAGAGTAGAAAAAAAATCTTAGAATATGACATATTTCTTAGAAAGCAAGATTTAATACAATATTTAAAAAATTAAAAGGTGTTATATTACTTAAGTGATAAGTGATATTTAAATCGGGGTCTTCTTACTATTCCTTAACTTTGGAAAAATCTGATTCTATATAGAATACATGTCAAAAAAGGTGGAAGAGTTTATTTACTTAAATATATCACATATAAACATATGTGTGATTCCTAGGCAAAGCTTACTTTTAATAAAAGATTTAGCTACATTTGTGGACCATGACTACGATTTGTTCCCAGAACTGTCAGAGCAAATGCAAATCTGTGCTATTTTTTCTTTCTTGCTATTAACAAATGCTTGGATCTTTCCTATCCAAATTCATAATGTATAAGACAACTTGGTCAATGCCTCATTTCACATTAGCTTTGGATTATGTCACAAACACCTTTAAATATTCCTTTGAAAGAGAGATGTTGGAACTTTCACGTATCATTAAGTTCTTTAACAATAAAAGTAAAAGTGAACAGACAAAGTTTTCTAAGGCATAAAAAGATACCTCATATTACCTTGGTGGAACTACATTAATTCAAAACAAAGATTTCAGTCAAAATATTTATTCTGTTCTTAATTGGGTTGAATGGTAATACAAACATTGTGAGCCAGACTTAAGTTTCTCATTTATTATACTTTAAATGTCCAAAACTTGATATAAAACCACCTATGACCTAGTGTCTTTCGCAAGTCACAATACAGAATCTCGGATATAATCGGATGTGCTTTGAAATCAGTTCTCTCCTTAGCCATGACTATTATAGATTTGAAAAAAAATAAGCTCCAGTTCCTGAGACGTTTTGAGAAAAAACAAAACAAAACAAAACTGCTGAACAGAAACTTCAAGCCTTCTGTGGCTAACAGTCTGAAAGCCTCCCTCAAGACTGAAGATGGAACACAAAATTACAGACTCATACAATTACTGTAAGACTGCTGGGAAAGTCTGATTAACTCCCGGGTGCTTACACCAAGAGCTACAACTGGAAACTCTGACCAAATCCTGAGCACTGTCATTTTAAAAGATGTTAAGACGGATGTAAACATTATCCTGGATACGATGGCAGCAGCAACAACAACAGAAGCCTAAGTGTCCGCTCTAAGGGGTACAGCCACCACCACGCCGATGCCCCGTTCCAGCGAAGGCCCCCAGGGTGCCCTCACTGCCATGGCAAAGCCCAGCCCTGGGAGCCTTCACAGAGCAGCTCATCCACCACCTCAATCCCTTCTCAGGATTTGTTCCAAACGGAGAAATCAAGTCAGGCTGCATCTCACAGACACGAGAGAGGCGCCAGAACATGTCAGCAACACTGGGATTTGCTCTCCGCTGGCAAGGCCCTCTCGTCCAGTTTAATTTTGTCCACATCGTTGTCTTCATTGGGAAAGCTTTGGTGCTGCACAAGGATGTTCTCCACCAGGAACCGGGCTGCTTCGTCTATATTTATGTTATCCTGTAAAGCAGAAGAAGGAAACAATTCAGAGGATTAATTCTTAGACCAAAGCATTAAGAATATCCATGGGAACTAGGAAACTCCCTCGGAGGGGGCATGCTAAGTACACCAGCTCTCATCTCAGTCCGAAGGTGTCTGCCGAGAGTTCGACGCTACTGAGTAATACGGCTCCGGAACCCTCTTCTTTTCTCTGAAAGTGGAGAAGCGGGTCTCATGGAGCAGAGATGACAAGCAGGAAAAGCCGCTCTCAGAGTAGGGCTTCCTCGTGAGAGAAGGAAGAGACCCAACCAACCACCTCTGGCGCTGGTATGGGGAAAGAGGGGGAGGAAAAACAGTTGGGATTGACTTTAACCATTACAAGGTGCAGTGCACTCTGTGGCCTGGCGTTTGCCTTTTATGGGACGGGTGCATGGCCATGCCTGGGCGAGTGGCTATAATCAATCTCCACAGGGATTCTCTTGGTTTGGAGGCTCTTTCTGGTCTGCGTGCACTGCTGCTCAGCCCAGTTCTGTGTCTGGCAGCGTTAGCAGGCTCCTGACTTATGTTTGACTTTAGCTGATTTGTATAGTCTCGTGCCCTGTTCCTGCATCATTAGTATGAATTACTGCTTTTAGTTGTCACATGTAAATTAACCAGAAACAATAGTGTAGGCGTAATGTGCATAAAGACGACCCAAGGAATCACTAGCTATTGCATTTGTGTAACAGATTTATAAGTTGCCATCAAATACACAATAAGTAACACATAGCAAATCAGTGATCTTTAAAATCTTTTACTTAATATTTTAAAATAATTTTATGTACAAAACATTGCAAGAATAGTAAGAATTCCTATACACCCTTCATCCACATTCCTCAAATGTTAACATCTTAGATAACTGGAGTACAGCTATCAAAATCAGTAAATTAGATAATATTATTGTCAGCATTAATCTGTCAACCTTATTGAAATTACATCGACAATCTCAACATCCTATTTCCGACCCAGACGAGAAGCTGAATTTCCTGGTCATGTTCTTGTCTCCTTTAATCTGGAACAGTACCTCAGTCTCCTTACTTTCATGAACTTGACATACTCGGAGAGTACTGGCTAGACGATATCCCTTAATTTGGGTCTGCCTGATGTTTCCTTGTCATTAAATTCAAGCTACTTATCTAGGCCAGGGACAAGGCATGAGTGATGTGTCCTTTCCAGGGTATGGGGCACACTTGCCTAAAGTCCTCTCTGCCAGGTCTTCTCCACTGAAAAAGTCACTCTTCTTCCTACTGTGCTTAGGAAGTAAAATATACAGCTATTCTATTTTTCACCATACATTTTGCCATTAATTTTAGCATCAATCGGTTCTTCCCTCTAACAATTATGACTGTGGTGTTTAATGGTGATGTTTTATTTCCAGCATTCCTTCTACATTTATTAGCTGTACTTTTACTGTTAGGAAGAACTTTTTCTTCTTTCCCACTCATTTATTCATTTTATTCATAGTGTGGATTACTATTTTATTCTATGGATTAAATCCATACCAGTACTATTTACTTCGTTGCTCAAACCGTCTTAGACTTTAGAGCTCCTATAGGTAGACTCTTGTCTTTTTTCTTTCTTGCTTGCTTTTTGGCATGTCTCCATCACACTTTGTAAGTGTCCCTTACTTTCTGGCACCACTAAATATCTCAGGCACGTCTTTCCCTTCCTTGTCCCACAGTCCTGAAATGAATTATTTCTCCAGGAAACCCTGGTTCTTTTTGTTGGAGAACAACAGTATTTAAAACTACTGAGGACTTGGTCAGCTCATTGGTCCTGTGATGTCATGGCCTCTAAGCTCTGTCAGCAGAAGACCCAGTAAATGCACGTGTGTGTCCCTGCACACACCGATGCCTATTTCTATGTTTACCTCCCTGTTTATACATGTACAGTGTGTGCATATGTGTGCATGCATGTATATGTGTATATATATACACACACAAACACAGAAATATACACATAGAGTATATATGTGAACACATATAACATTATGTTCATACTGATCTCTCCGATTCCAATCCAATACCTCGAGGGGCATTCTCATCCTCTCCCTTACTTGTTATTCCTTTCTCAGACAGTGAGAAATCTACAAGACCTGTGCTATTTCTTTAACTATCTTTTCCAGCATCAACACCAACTTTTTTACCTCCACTCCCAAGATAAGGGTTCATTTTAATTAAAGTATTGGTCTTTGAATGTCCAAATGCCATTCAGTTCCCACCATCCCCAGTATGTCAAGTAATTATAATATTCGCTAACTGTATTTAGTAGCAATTAACAAAAAATCTCCGTGTTGTACTGTAACTAATCACACATTCTCATATTGGGAAGGTATTAGACACCGGAAGGTGAGAAGATGAAATTCATGAATTCAAAACTGTCCTTTGGCTATGTTCCTATTAGAATTCCGATCACTGGAAATCCAAAGAAACCAGATTTGAAGGTAGCTGCTGGCCAGCTCAGAAGTATAGTGTTAGTGACACTTGGATATTGATAAAATTTTTAACCTAGGGGTGCAAAAGAAGCCAGTCAGAGAAAGACAAATATCACATGATCTCACTTATATGTGGAATCTAATGAACATAATAAACTCATGAATAAAACAGAACCAGAGGCATGAAAACATGGAACAGACTGAGGAGTCTCCAAGGGAAAAGGGGATGGTGTGGGGAGGAAAGAGATGAACCAAAGAATATATATGCATACATGCATTATCCATGGATACAGAGAGTAGGAGGTTAAAGCCTGGGCAGGGTGAAAACCAGGTAGAGGGGGGCAAGGGGGGGAGTTAAAGGGGATGGGACATCTGAAATACTCTCAACAATAAAGATAATAAAATAAATAAATAAATTGTAAAAAAAAAAAATTTTAACCTAAATTTTACATTACTGTTTTCCACATGGAACCCCCCAGGTTTACTGGTAAGGAAATTCTGCAGGAGGTGTGCCTCACTTATCTGTGGGAAAGCGCAGAGCACACCTGAAACTTTTACTCTTAACCAATGTTATTCTCTTCATCCCTCTACATGATGCTATCTATAAATACTTATAACAAAATTGGTGACTTACAGTCCCAAACTACAGGCCATGACTCAATTATTTACAAATCTTCCATCTAGATTCTGCAGTCAAATTTGGATTTATTATTTGTGTTTTTTGTTTTTTAATGTATCTTTATTGTTGAAAGTATTACAGATGTCCCTCCATTTTTTTCCCCATGGACACCCTTCTCCCCACTCCTGCCCCCTGCTCCACCCCCACCTTCACCACACTGTTGTCTATATCCATTGGTTGTGCATATATGCATATAAGTTCTCTGGTATATCACTTCCCACCCCACCCCCCCCACTTCCCTCTGAGGTTTGTCAGCCTGTTTTCTACTTCCCGTGTCTGGATCTATTTTGTTCATCAGCTTATATTGTTTATTATATTCCACAAATAAGTGAGATCATGAGATACTAGTCTTTCTCTGACTGGCTTGAATGAGTAATTCAAATAAAACCTAATAGGAAATTTTATCTGCAATACATACATCTCCTCCACCAACTCATGTGCTATATTAAACATTTACACATACCATTAATTTTGGCCAACAATGTTGGAGGCAAGCAAACCACCTGAACCGCCTGGCGGAGGAGACAGAGGGTCTGGCTCCGGGAGCAAGTCCCTCTGTGAGCAGCCCCCCCCCCGCCCCCCGTGATTTCTTCCGTCCTGTCTGCTGTGCTCGTTCAGCGTCTTCTCTGGCTTCAGCTCTCTTCTGCCACTTTCTATATAGGAAATTAAATTTTAAGACGCTGCAATATATTGATTTAAATGAAGTCTTTAGCTTGGCGGTAAAGGCTTCTGGCTCCAGTGGACACTACTTTTCCCAATGACTGTCCTCACTCTGTTCGGAGCAGCCTTTCTGTGCAGTCTCTCCCACCACCGCTTGTATTATCCTGAGCACAAGTGGCACCGGCTTCTCCACTTCCAGGGTGGCTTCCTGGTGCAGCGATAACAGCCTGTAGTACGTAGGTGATAGGAGGAGCAATGTTTTTTTTAAAAATATGAACAAGAAATTCACGGAAGGCATACGAAACTCTGGAACTGTGTTGGGATTACACCAAATTTATGGTTTGGAGATTGTCATCACAGAATTTCTCAAGCATTTCATCATTCTTACATAAGTCTGACTGTTATTTGACCTCTAAAGTGAAACTTCCAACACACATAGACAAGACCCTCCACCGTCCACTATTTTGTGCTTGTGATTTTTACCTTTTCTTTCTTGCATATCTAGACTGTTAAGATTTTCAACACCCAACTGATGTGCGTGTGTGTTTTTAAATTTTATTTATTGGTTTTAGAGAGAAAGAAAGGAAGGGAGAGAGGAAGGGGAGAGGGAGAGGGAGAAGGGGAGGGGGAGAGAGAGGGAAGGGGAGGGGGAGGGGAGGGGGAGAGAGGGGGAGGGGGGAGGGGAGGGGGAGGGGGAGAGGAGAGAAAAACATCGATTGTTGTTCCACTTATTTAGCCATTCATTGGTTGATTGTTGTATATGCCCTGATGGGGACTGAACCCACAACCTTAACATATTGGGGTGATGCTCTAAACAACTGAGCTACCTGGCCAGGGCTCTATGTGTGTTTGTTTTGCTTAAAAAGAAACAAAACAAAACAAAAATTTTTTTTTTTTTTTTATCCTCACCCGAGGATATTTTTCCATTTCTTGTACAGATAGAGTGGGAGGGAGAGAGAGGAAGGGAGAGAGAGAGAGAAACATCGATGTGAAGGGACACATCGAGCGGCTGCCACCCGCACGACCAACCAGGGCCGGGGACAAACTGCAACCGAAGTACGTGCCCTTAGCGGGAACCGAACCCGGGTCTCTCCGGACCGCAGGCCGACGCTCTAACCGCTGAGCCAAACCGGCCAGGGCAACAAAACAAAATTTTATCCAGCTTCCAATAATGAATCAAATAGAAGTTCTCACTCTACTATTCATGAAGAAGGATGTCCTCTTGTTCAATTCTTTCATACACAGTTAATATAAAACTCTTCAAACATCACCATGTTTCAATGCTTGTGTTAGCCTTGCACATGGACTGCACCTTCACCAGGGCGCAGCCCTATGTTTCATTAAGTCTTCTGTAAAAATAAAAATTGCTTATGCTTCACCCCAAAAACTCTAGGTCCATGAGACTCAAACTCACAGAACACAGTGTTTGTAATTTGCTCTAAATAATAGCTCACTTTTATTTTAATGTGAAATCTGTCCTTCTATTCACCTCCCCACTGACTGTCTTCGAAAGCGTGGTTGCTGCTGACTGATAGAAGCTGTGACGTATCCCTGCTCTGCTGCACTTTTCCAAGGCTTCCAACAACTCCTCGCGTAAATCCATCCCAATGCTTCACATTTACAAGCTAACTGCAGAGCGCATACACAGGCAAAGAAGATCTCACCTTTGCGGAGGTCTCAAACCATCCAGTGAAGCCATGCTCTTTGCAGAACTCGTTCATCTGGGAGGGATTCTGGCCCCCTTCCTTCTTCTGGTCACATTTATTAGCTAAGAGAACAGTAGGAATAGGACCACCACTTGGCAGATGGACTTTACTATCCAGATCACTTTTCCATTTCAAGACGGCCTCAAACGTGGAACTTCTAGATAGATCAAAGACTACAAAAGCACCAACAGCTTCTTTATAGTAGACTCGCGTCATGTTGCCAAACCGCTCTTGCCCTAGAAATAAATATAATAAGAGGTTAAAAACTCTTAATTTAGACAGGGTCTCTATTTAGATACAATCCCTTTGACCCTAAGAATAATGCTATAAATATGTATCTCCCATTCCATAGCAACATAAACTGGTGAGATTAAGGACATATACACAGAGCTGACTCACAAAGCAGAAGGGGTTGGTCATGTGGTTTGAGAACACAAGTAACTAGTTTTTGTTCTGCGTGTGCACAACACGTGCTCCACAACCACCAAGATGACAGTGCTTAAAGCTACAGAATCCATCATTTTCCTCTCCCCTTGCTCTAAGAGAAGAGAGGTACTACAGGAAAAAAGAAAGCTTGGAGTACAGGAAGAAGAGACAAGAACAGATGAAAATGAAGCTCTCAGGAAGAAGATAAGGACAGTGGGTTAAATGCTATCCAAAAAGATTAGGACTGGACACAAGATAAAGAAACACATGTTCTTCACTCATCTTTCCTTCACATCTCTACATGCTTTTGATTCGATCTGCAAGGTTACTGTCTGCTAAGAAGGCAGACACATGCTACTTTAGAACAAAAAGTGGCACGATGGTTGTGCTGTCAAAGAAGGATTGATGGCATACTATGCAGCTGTAAGAAAGAAAGAGCTCTTATCCTTTGAGATGGCATGGAAGGACCTGGAAAGTATTATGCTAAGCGAAACAAGTCAAGCAGAGAAAGACAAATATCACATGATCTCACTTATTTGTGGAATATAATGAGCTAAACAAACTGCTGAACAAAATTAACCCAGAGACATGGAGGTGGGGTACAGGCTGACAAGCCTCAGATGGGGGGTGGTTGTGGGGGAAGAGATAAACCACACAACTTACATGCGTGTATGCATAACCAATGAACATAGACAACAGAGCTGGGGATGGGGTAGGGGGAAGGGGAGGAGGGTGTTAATGGGGGGAAAATGAGAAATATCTGTAACAAAAACAAATTAATAAATAAAAAATTAAAAAAATAAAAGAAGGATCGATTATAGAGTTTGTCAAATATTGTACTTGGAAAATAATTTAACAGACTGAAAACTTGGAGAAAACATCTACTGCTGCACATATTACATAGGACTTTGCAAAGCATGCTCTTACTATTTGATATCGTGCTATTCTTTATTGGTTTTAGAGAGGAAGAGAGGAAGAGAGAGAAGGAAAGAAGAGGAGAGAGAGAGAGAGAGAGAGAGAGAGAGAGAGAGAGAAACATCGATTTTTGTTCCACTTATTTAGCCATTCATTGGTTGCTTCTTGTATATGCCCTGATGGGGACTGAACCCACAACCTTATCATATTGGGATGATGCTCTAACCAAGTGAGTTACCTGGCCAGGGCTCTTATGTGTGTTTGTTTTGCTTAAAAAACAAAACAAAATAAAACACATTTTATCCAGCTTCCCATTATAGATCAAAGAAAAATTCTCATTCTACTATTCATGAAGAAGCATGTCACAAATACTGGACATAGAAAGGATTGTTATCTTCATCCGACAGAGGAAAAAACACGCAAAGAGTTGCTCCACCAGGGTTCTAGTACCAATGAGTAAAGACTGGACTCGAACCTGGTTCTCCTGACTCCCACAAGCCTATGGAAATATGATGCCAGCCATTCTGAACGGTCTTGCAGGTGCCTTGACTTGTAAAGCTTATACCTTCAATCAGTCAAGTTACCAAGTAGAGGGCTAAGGAACCAGGAGTAGCAATCAATGTAATCTAAGATTTATAACTCTGCCCAATGATAAAAACACTAGGAGAGGTCATTTTCCTGTTAAAACACATGATGAAAAGCATGCTTTATCTACACGTTATTGACAGTAACAAACGCAAAGCTACCCCCAAATTAATGTTTCTCCTTCAAATTCTACTATGCCATTATACAATTTTAGATACTGCTTCATGGAATAATGGAAGAATAAAATAATCAGGTTCAGTTTAGTCCAAAAAAAAAACCTTTATTATTTTGGGTTCTACTTCCCACAAATACACATATAAAATGCAGGCTGTTCCTGCCACGCTGCACGCTCCTGGGCTGTGTCCATGACAGGCGAGGACTGGGTGGAGAAGAAAGTCAGTTACTCACCACAAAGATGACTGCATAAATTTTGTTCTGTGTGGTGTGTGTATGTTAAGAACGAAAGCTCACAGAAATATGGAAACTCGGCAGAACCCAGATCTTCCTCTTAATAAGTTTGCAGAAGTAGTTCAGATAGTGGGAGAACTCTAACACGACACCACCTTCTCTGACCAGTCCTGTGGCCATTTCTTACTGGGGAGGCCAAGAACACGTTCACGCTTTCCTGACAAGACACTTGAGTGGACAATATTATAACTGGAAGGCGACAGCCCATATCATGTAGTCTTATTTCTCTTATTTTATAGGTGAGAAAATAAAATCCCAGGGAGATCAAGTTACTCAGATTTCCTAGGATGGCTGGTTATCTAACATGCTGTCTGATATGTCAGTCAAGTATTTTCTGGGGTACACACTGCTCCATATATCCCTGTTTCCAAACATATCCAAGGCAGTGAGTACCAATAGCCTAGGAGAGACTTTCCTTAAGGACAGCACAGCCCTACTACAGAAGTCACCCCCTGCTGCTCTGTCCCCTAGGTCTTTACCACGGCAGCTAAGGGAAATGTCTCGATGCTGAGTACCTGAGTGACCCCAATACCAAGGACAGCCTTTTCATCCCTATTGCTGTGGGCACATTGCCAGCATATTCCAAAGGGCTCTAAATTGTTTTACCTTTTAAAAAAGATAAGTTAATTCCTTCTCTATAAGAAGGTACCTTTATTATAATTACACATCTTAGCATTGAAAAATGAGAAAAAGAGCACAGTGCTAATCATCTAGGTTTAAAGATATTTAAAGGTGCACAGCTTACACCCTCAGATGGATAAATTCTAAGGTGCAAGTGTTGGCAAAAGATTAAAATGCTATCTAACATTTGGGAGTATATAACATTAATAACTTTGAAAAGGAGTTGAGAAAACATAAGTTATATATTTCCAAGAATATATAGTCCAATGAAGGGGGCAAAAGAACCCACTAACCTTTGCCTTATCTCTTATAGCAATGCAGGTTTCCAACAGGATACTTCCCCTCATGAAATGGAAAGTACTGCTTTCTGACTGTTACCAGAAACACTGGCCAGAGATGCGTTCTCTTACGATTTTAATCACTGTTTTTTTGTTGTGTTTTTTTAAGTTTGTTAATGTTTGTCTCAATATTTTATGTTCATGTCCCCATTTGATAAATAATCTAAATGTTTCTTAATGTTGTTTGAAACTCAAAACATAAATTTCACAGTGACAAATCAGGGCAATAGGACAATGGGTGCTTAGTTTTCCAAGTATAAGTGCTTACCTTTTCCTACCCACTGAGAATCACTGAGCTACACGTTCTTGCTCAAGGTGATTGGTTGAAAATGTCATTTTTAGTTAGTGCATGCAAAATCATCTATAAAAATCCTAAATCTCACTGTGCACTTCAGAGATGAAGCTCTTCTCGCAAGCCCGTGTGCTTGGAGGTGAGGGACCCAGACCGCCAAGCCCTCCCACACCGGCACAGTCACGCCCCTTAGCGCGGGGCCTGGAGAGCTGCCAGGCCTGCCAGCCCCGCTGCTCCCCCTGGACTCCCACAGAGTGGGCGAGCCCGGGCCTTCCAGAAGCTGTGTAAGCAGGATCCGAGTGCTCTGCATGCGGGAGAAATGCGCTTCCTGAGGGAGTGGGTGGAGAGCATGGGAGGTAAAATACCACCTGCTACTCAGAAAACTGAATCAGAAGAAAAAACAGTAAGAAGGAGGAGGAAGACACAGGATAGTCAAAGCGTCAAGTGAGGAAAGTGATCTAGAAATCGACAATGAGAGTGCGATTGTACCACACACTGAGGCCCCTGGAGAAAGGGCAGATGAAAATGCAGACATAACCGAGATGACGGATCAGGCAAATGATAAACAAGTGGCTGCCACTGACGCCCTAGGTGATGGACCACAGAAAGCCATTGGCTTGGTCACAGATGCCATCAAGCTGCATCCTGCTTGGCCATTCAGTATGCCAAGAGGACCAGAGTCTTCATCAAGTTACAGAAGCCAAACGCTGCCATCCAGGACTGTGCCAGACCTATTGGAATAAATCCTGATTCCGCTCCGCCTGGCAGGTGGGGAGGGAGCGCACACAGACTTCCCAGCCACTGGGAAGAAGCGGCCCATGATCTGGCCCCTGCATGTAAACCGGATTATGCTGCTGCTGCTGCTGCAATGCTGGAAGAAGTTCAACCAAGGACTGAACATTGAGAACATCAGAGAAAGTTGGAGTGGAAACGGGAAGAGGGAGAGATCAAGGAAATGAAGGCTCCAAAGAACGGGACAGAGCCCAGAGGGAGGAAGAAGGCGGACGAGGAGACAATCGACAATGGGGCGCTCAGTGTGGCTCTTTGCCAGGTGGCTCTCCTGGGGGGTGCCCGGTGCTCGTACAGAGGAATGCCTGCAGTGGGAAGGCACGCCTGGAACGGCAGGGAAGCCTGGGCTCAGAGACGTGCTTAGTGATCCAGGGGTTCTTGCGGCCACGCTGGGTCCACCGCCCTCCAGGATGTGACTCAGAACCTGGCAACTCTGTCAGAACATCAGAGCAACCTCAAGGTTATGATTCTCATCAGTAAACTGTCAGCCGGATTTGGAGGTCACATGTAATGCCTTTCTAACATATGAAGCCTTGCTGAAGGAAAAGCAACTGGGCTCACCCAATGGATGTTGCAATAATACAAGCCAGTGCACCTCTGGCCTTCCGAAGAAAGCTGGGTGCTTTGACGAGAATCCCTACCCCTCTGCCCCAAATGCAGCTGTAGCACTTGGCAGTGGTTTGCCACTATGACATTTGGTCGGATGGTGTTTTCCTACCAGAAATTATAAAGTTTAATCACTTTTAAACCTTAAAAATATTTTTAAAAAACTAATTTAAAGGGTGTGTTAAACCCTACATTT